GAAGACTACAATGTCCCTGCATTGCAATCCATGGGGTCAAAGGAATACAAGCATACCAAAAATCCATGGGGATTAGTATTACAGAATAGAATGGGGTGGGGGGGGGGGGGGGGATGGTAATAAGGTGCAGACTGATTAAGGCGATCTCAAATGTAAGGCGAATTTCTGTTGTGAAGAACAGTGTGTTTATCTCCGGCAGTTCTTGCTTGAACTCTTATCTGGATAAGAGCAATTTCTGATAAAAAGAGGCATTTCTTAAGTTCCCTGTAAGTTCTGAGCAGGTCTGCACTGTATGGGGTTATCTTCCTGTAAAGGGCAAAGGATAGAATAACACGATTGGTTGATGGACAAGTACGAGAATTCAAAAATGTAGGTAGCATATTTACAGAGGATGGCAGACTCAGCAGAGAGATAGCCAGAGTACAGAAGGCAAATGTCACCTACTAGTTAGCCCCACTATTAGACATCAAATGTCTCCCAGAGAAACAGCAAATGATTAATAGCATCTTTATCTCTGCTTTATGTTATCAGAGCCATACATGGACAATGAATATGGCAATAGAAAAGAAAATAACTACATGTAAAGTGCGCTCTTTCTGCAAGATCACTAACAACACAAAAAGAGACAGGGTTAAGAATAACAGAATTATAGAGAAAGTTGGAATAAGGCTATATTTGGATTATATTAACAAAGAATGAAATGGTTCAACCACTTAGACTGCAACTGGACCAAACTGCATATGAGCAGAACATCTGGGAGAAGGCGAGAGGAAAACCAAGAAAGACATGGATAAATGGTGTATCCGAAACCTGCAAACAGATAAACAAATCCATCACTCAAGCCACCGAAGAAGTGCAAGACAAATACAGAAAACCTTGACACTGGACTGCAACCTGGTATCAGTGAGACGACAAAACCACGACACTGGGCTACAATCTGGTATCAGTGAGACGGCAAAACCACGACACTGGGCTACAACCTGGTATCAGTGAGACCACAAAAAACCACGACACTGGGCTACACAACCTAGTATCAGCGAGACTACAAAACCCTGATACTGGGCTACAACCTGGTATCAGTGAGACGACAAAACCACGACACTGGGGTGCAACCTGGTATCAGTGAGACGACAAAACCACGACACTGGGGTGCAACCTGATATCAGTGAGACGACAAAACCACGACACTGGGCTACAACCTGGTATCAGTGAGACGACAAAACCATGACACTGGGCTACGATCTGGTATCAGTGAGACGACAAAACCAAGACACTGGGCTACAACCTGGTATCAGTGAGATGACAAAACTACGACACTGGGCTACGACCTGGTATCAGTGAGACGACAAAACCACAACACTAGGCTACAACCTGGTATCAGTGAGACGACAAAACCACGACACTGGGCTACAACCTGGTATCATTAAGACGACAAAACCACGACACTGGGCTACAACCTGGTATCAGACTACAAAACCACGATACTGGTCTACAACCTGGTATTAGTGAGACGACAAAACCACGACACTGGGCTGCAACCTGGTATCAGTGAGACTACAAAACCGCGACACTGGGCTACAACCTGGTATTAGTGAGACGACAAAACTGCGACACTGGGCTACAACATGGTATCAGTGAGACGACAAAACCACGACACTAAGCTACAACCAGATATCAGTGAGACGACAAAACCACGATACTGGGCTGCAACCTGGTATTAGTAAGACGACAAAACCACGATACTGGGCTGCAACCTGGTATCAGTGAGACGACGACGAAGGATAGCCTATGCTACATTAGGAACAAAGGGCATAGGGGGGGAATTTGTATTTTTTTTTTCTTCATTCTGAGAGGTTATATTATGTTCTTCTGATCCATCAAATGAAAGCAGAAAGATAAGTGCGGGAAGCTGAACAGCTGGGCAACAGGTAACAGCTGGATTCCCGATGTCTTCTCGGTGTTCCAGGCCTCCTTCCTAGCAGGTAAATTCCACTAACCACGGAGCCACACTTTTGAATGAATAAATAATGAACTGACATCACTGCTATCGAAGCTTTCACATTCGTTCTCTATCTCCTTCAGTAGCCAACAAAGACTGAGTATGATAATAGTGCCAATTGCATCCTGACTAAAACAAACTTGAATATCGCCCAGAGCTTCTATGCATTGATCACATGGAGCCTGTATAAGCCCATCTTATCTTAAAATAGCTCACCACCCAGAGGAGCGACAGAGGTCAATCTATCATCCATTCAATAACTCGCACATCCGAATATCCTGGACAGAAAATCTATGCACTGCTCCTGATCTGAGCTTTATCAAGCGATGCAGGTTACTCTGCGTGTAGGGCCTGTTTTTTTTCCCCAAAGCATGTTCTTTTATGTTCTTAGTCAGTTAAAGTATGACATGTCGGGCTGTTCTGCTCTCAAGCCATCGGATAGCTGCCGTTACTGCCTCCGCCTTCATTCTCATACTGGATGTTGTGACGTTATACTAAATGCTCTCTGTTTTCAGTGTCCATTATCCAAACTCTTGAAAATAGGCAAACCAGCAGAGTAATACTTCCCCCTGGATCCTAATGTAGTGTTTTTGCATGTGTAGTCTTCTCGTTTAAGCACTTCAAGTACCTTATGCGATTGCTATAATTGTCTTAAATTCATTGTTCTCATTGGGGAAGTCCTGTCTCAACGCGAGCGGGTTTTGCTAGTCACATTCGCCACGGGCTATGATTCCACTGCCTCACCATAGCACAGTATAACATTATCGCCTGGAAAATGCCAGCAACAAACCTACTAGATTTAGCATACGAATTAACCTTGAGTTAGACACGAGACAGCCAAACTATAGCAATAAGAGATAGGCGTTGGTTGACGTGTATAGAGAGCTTGTACCAGCACAGCCCCACCCGTGTTTTCGTGAAGTTCTTATATTCACCTATTCAACATCACTTGCTAATTCTCTGTCTTTTCAACGTGGTTATTTTTCATCTTTGGTTAAATGCACGATTTTCTAGTTTACAGCGGCAATTGAGAAACAAAGACTGAAATGGTTCGACCACCTGCAGCGAATGAATCTAACATTAAAAGGCAAAAGCATTTTTGAAAAGACCACACTAGAGGGTACATACTACTACATGACAAACCCCTTACCTGCAGGCTACACCCATCCCTGGTGGAGCAGTTATGCACAATACGTGAATCTCAATATCTCAGGGCCTCTCTTGCTCAAGCCTGGGTTTTCAGGTTGGGGTTCAACCCCCAGCGGAAAACTAGATGGACAATAAACAAGATAACATCAAATCTGGTTCTGTCGGTAAGCTACTGAGCTCATGGTGAGATATTTTGAGCTTCAAATTCTGTGAGGAATGATGACTGCCTTTCTGTAAAATTTATTTTAAACAAAAAAATTACGAGTGGTTAGTTGCCACTGTACTGCCTTTATGCATAATGCAGTAATGCGTGTGCACTAGGTGGTTCGTCGTGACTGCTGCTTCTAGCAATTATTAATAGCAGTTTTAGTGACAGATCAGGCGTTGGCACCTCTGTTGGCTGCCTTAGGCATTTGATTGTCGCGAAAGCTGTTCGATTTTACCAGGACTGCCGTCTGTTTAAGTTTCTGCACGAGACAGCGACGGGCACTTTGTGCTGTTTTCACTGGCACAGAATCGGTGTAGTTATGGGATAACGGGGCTGACCATTTGCGATGAAGTTGGAACCTTGACCGATAACCTGCAGGGCAGGCTACACCAACTGATGTAGCTCCCACGATACCCGGACTGTAACTAGTTCGGAAACTGAAAAAGATATCAGGAATTTATCCTGTTGGACTGCCATCCTGGATACGACAAAGGAAAATTGTAGGGAGTCGGCAGTCCGAAACCCAAGTTCAAGGTGTCTCCTTCGTGCCAAAGAACTGCATGGCTGTTGGGTGAACAGTCGTTAACGAAGGCAGGCAGGTCGTTGTAGGGGCGACGCCTGCTGGTGGATGTAATGTCCTAAGTCCCTTCCCCGGCTAATAATGAGGGTACTGCTGGGGTGACCGTTTATTAACCCTCATATAATGCTTCAGGTCAAAATGGACTCTAGGCACGGAAACCTTTTTTTCCCTGCCAGACGGTGGCCGTTGCATTTTTGCTTCATTTGTAGACTGGAAGGATATAGTTTCGTCGCCCAGCTTCTGAGTTGAGTGCATGGCGTGACACTGTAAGCTTCGTGTATTTTTCGTTGGCACAGGAGCGGAGCAACCATGGGGTGACCCGTTTGCTAAGAAGCTGAAACTAGGATTACCAGATTACCAGAATGAAGTCGAAGCAGTGGTCAAAACATAAGGTAAGATGGACAACAAACACAGGATGACAGCAAGCGAGTTAGAGGTAGACAACGATGGTAATGGGAGGATAACATCAACAGATGGACGAACAGCAGTCTTAAAAAGTGTGTGTCAAATCTGAAAAGCAGATTCATCACCGCCAATTCACCGTGTGGGTTTGAGGTCCCAATTTTCGTTGAGGGAGAGAAAAAGGGGAGGGGAGGGACATAAAAATAGACCCACTGGCTCCCTAAAATGCATGTCGTAAAAGATAACTAATTAGGAGTTTGTTGAAAACGAATGTGTTGGACTAAAAGCTCAGATATCTCTGTGTGGCTGTAACCACAATACAATGTGTCAACGGCCCTTTTTGAAGGCGAAGGTAGAAAAAGAAGAACTGCAGCTAACCTCCGTTGTAGAGACGGTACGAGATTGATTGAATCGTGTTTTACGACAAACAGAACACATTTGCGGCAGAAAACAGGTCGCGATCTTGTTATCTTTCCAGCGATCTGCCTGCCACAACAATAAATCAGCTAAGCTAGACCAACAACACCACATCGATATGTCCCCGGCAGGAAGGATTAGGTTTGTTAAACAGATGATTTACTGTCGGAACGAAAGGTTCACTATATAGTCGAACAGCCGGACTTTGTTTAAGTGCAAGACTGAAGTATTGAAGCAACCAAAAGATGTGGATGGTTGAGGAATTCATGCAAATCCTGAGAGAGATGTTGCTGGAGGGGAATATTCACAATATTGTGGTGTTTACTGTTATTACCAGCTCCTCCGTGCTTTCAGGTGAGTTTAGGTTTAGGTGCTTCTAGTGTGCCATTTGTTTAGGGACCTGAGTACTTATGGTTCGATATGCAATGAGGAATAAGATAATTTGTGGACTAAATTGCCGTTTATTAGTAATGTCATTATTTCAGTTTTCTTCTTCTTATTCATCATTCCAATAACATCAACTCGAGTTTGATTGTTGCAGTTATCAATAATCAGTCTCAATCTTCATTCCTTTCTTTAATTTGTTTCTTTCTCTTTTCAGTAATGACCATACAGTGTCTAAATAAGGTGCCAGTACTCACCAAAGTATGTCTATTACAGTAGCACTGAAAAAAAAAAAAAAAAAAAAAAAAAAAAAAAAAAAAAAAAAAAAAAAAAAAAAAAAAAAAAAAAAAAAAAAAAAAAAAAAAAAAAAAAAAAAAAAAAAAAAAAAAAAAAAAAAAAAAAAAAAAAAAAAAAAAAAAAAAAAAAAAAAAAAAAAAAAAAAAAAAAAAAAAAAAAAAAAAAAAAAAAAAAAAACAAATGATGCCTATAAAAAAGGTGTCGGTATTGCATAAGGTTGTCTGTTGCCATAAAAAAGAAGAGGCCTTGGATAAAACCGATAATATCCTATTTAGTCTTTTGGATTACACTTGCAGGCGTTTAGGAGATCTCTGTGTGTTGTTGCTGGAACAACACAGTTGTAGCCTTTTTTGTGACTGTTGTAGCAACAAGCTGCTGTACAGAGAGAGAGATAAGAGAGAGCGAGAGAGAGAGAGCGAGAGAAAGAGGGAGGGGGGGGGGGAGAGAGAGAGAGACCAAGCCGTTTGCAGTAACACCAAGCACAGCAACTGTGATCCTTTTGCCACTTGGGTGATTAAATGTAGAAAAACTTTAAAGTCAATAGGATCGACTTCACTGCACCAGGTTTTATCCCATATAGCTTATCTCTGTCTGTGGAATGACTAGCCACTTGCCAAGAGCGTCACATAAAGCACTTCTTCTTCTTTTTCTTCTTCTTCTTTTCTTTTTCTTTTTCTTCAATTCACCAGCTGTAAATCCCAGCGGAATATTCTGGTTGTTCATCCATAAAATCTGGACTTTAGTCTTGTTACACCCCGTGTGGGTTCCATGGCCCTGTTATAAGAAAACAAGAATAGACCCGCTGCCTACCCAAAAGCATGCCGTAAGCGTCAACTGATTGGGAGCTTCCTTCTAAGTCAGAGTGCATCTGCCTGAGAGGCAAGGAACCAGCAGTTTGCATACAAATGAGTCATCTGTAAAACGGATGCATACACAACACTCAAGTTCTAGAACAGGACTGCAGTCCAGAAGTGAATGAACAACCAGAACTTTCCGCCAGAGTTTACAGCTGGTGAACGCAAAGAAGAAGTCTTGTTCCAAGATATGAGTTTTTATGTGCACATCCATTTTACAGATCTGGCTTATTTGTATGCTGACTGTTGGTGTCTCGCCTCTCAGGCAGATGCACTCTGACTTTAATAGGAACATCTTCATTTAGTTGACCCTTAAACATGCATATTAGGGGCAATGGTCTATTCTTGTTTTCCCCACAATGGGACCTGGAACCTACACAAGGAATTCAAAACACAAATTCCATATCTCCAGCTACAGTCCTTGAAAAATTGCACATCTTAACCAAACAATGTAGTCCAGGGAACCCAAAACACAAATTCCATATCTCCAGCTACAGTCCTTGAAAAATTGCACATCTTAACCAAACAATGTAGTCCAGGGAACCCAAAACACAAATTCCATATCTCCAGCTACAGTCCTTGAAAAATTGCACATCTTAACCAAACAATATAGTCCAGGGAACCCAAAACACAAATTCCATATCTCCAGCTACAGTCCTTAAAGAATTGCATATCTTAACTGAACAATGTAGTCCATGAAACAAACTCAGGTAAAAACTGCACTCATGAATCAAGTGACATAGTCTGTGCAAAGAACCCATGGCTTTAAGAGGATGGGGCAGGTTGTGTGACCATTTCGCCATACATACAACCATGTAGAAAAAAAAATAGCATTTAATGAATTTACCACAAAGCTTGTTTAATTATTTGATTAATTGATCTCTTTCATGACTTCAGTTGTTGGGATGTTGAGGCATATTTACATATTCATCTACAACCTTCGGCACGCACATGAAGTTGACTTGCCTGCTGTTAGAGGACTCTCCCCTAAGGTGGAGGAGCCACCGACACCAACATTCACAGACATTGGAAACTTTCCAGTAATTGCAAGTCCAGAAAAGCTTGCTGTAGCAAACTTTGATCAGATGAAATACAATAAAGGAAGACAACATTCAAATGAGGTAAAGGAATATACTGTGTTTGTAAATAAGGTCATTTTGTAAATACTGATTAATATTCCATTATGTCTTGTTGGACTGAAAGGGAAAAAATTCAAGAATTGTGAAAAAATAAGAGATCATGAATGGCTAAGGAATATGAGAAATGGCTAGACAGGTGCACATATCAACAGTTATGAGGTAAATAAGATGGCAATATATTTAGTACCTGCTGAAGAGAAACTGACACATATATATTGATTAATGTAAGGGTGTCCCAGAGAAGTCTAAGGATGAACATTTGATTAGAGAAGTCAGAGATGTTGGACTAAAAGGTAAAGTCGGGAGATGTGAACCAGCGTCATTGCACATGATTATAAATCGTAAGTGCTCTGCCACCAGTACTGACAGCTGATAAGAAACTGTTTGCCTGTGTCGCCGTCCGCACTTAACTTTATATCTATAGCAACGTTTCTTCATTTACCCCAGAGTGTCAACTCTGGTACCCATTTCCTAGAGGCTGGGTGAACCCCAGGAACTGCCCGGTTTCGAACGCCGATCATGGGCTGCAGCAAGCCGCAGCTGGATTTGAAAGTGAGTCTCCTATTAACTGCAATAATGCGGCCCCATTGGACTAATTTCCATCCATGATATTAAAATGACTGCACACAGGTGTACTCCCCCCCCCCCCCCCCCCCCCCCCCCCCCCCCCCCCTCCTTAAACTGGCCCAGGAGCTCACACAGAGAAATTCTTATGGGAAAACTTCCACATATTGTCTCATTAATTAACTGAGTGAGTAACTTCATCATCATCAGTCTTTACAGAATGTCGCTCTCTTCACTGCATGCTTTAAAGTCTCTCTTTCTCTAGCCAGTCCTGTATGCTTTCATAGACAATGTATCTTCTGTGTCCTGTGTCCACCTTCATGGAGGTCGGCTTCTGCCTCGTTTTGTGTATGTGGAAACTGCACTCTCTATCATTGTTTTCTCCAGGCCACCATGGTGCTTGACATGCCCCAAATACCTCAACTTTTGGGAGAGGATGCTGCTTACAAGCCAGTTCTCCTTGATGTTCAGGCCAAACAGGTTCAGTTGAGAAACTTGCAGTAGTCAGATAGGATATATGGTTATCTGTTATTCATCTTTTTTTGTGTGTGTGGAGCTATGACACGGTACATAACCATGAAAAAAAATTTTGTTTTCCCTAGATTCCACTGACCAGAACCAAAAACACTAATGATCCAACATGTTTGAAGTAAGTGATAGATTCTAACTTTGCAGTGCTAGAATTTATGTTTCAGAATGTAGCTTATATAAGTGTAAATTCTAACTTTGCAGTCCTAGAATTTATGTTTTAGAAGTTAGCTTATATAATTGGTTGAGTGTAACTTTGCAGTGCTGGAACTTATGTTTTAGAATTTAGCTTTTATAAGTGTTCTTCAACCGCTGATCTGTGGAAATCTGCATTATGCTCATGCTTTATATGTAGTCATGTAGTCTTAATAGTGCTCTTGACAGAGCCCATCAACAAACATTACACCCCCCCCCCCCCCCGCCCCGCCCTTCCTTCCACATGATACTTCACTAAGGTATAAGGTGGAAAAGAAGAAGAAGAAGTGTTATATTGTGCTATAGGTAGGCGTGGAAATGGGAATCAGAACCCATGGTGATGGTGAGCGTGACTAGAAAGCTCACTTGTGTTTAAGGAAGGTCCAGTATTGTAGAGACCATGTGTTGCCCATGCAGCCTTGTTTATGCCACTACATGAAGGGGAAAAAAAGCATACTGCAAAAGCTGTTGGAGACAGTAGTTTAGTGTGTTAAAGTTTACCCTTTCCTTCTTTAATGGACTTTCATGTTTATGAAGATGTAGAAAACCTCTTGTACTCATGTTTTAAGATTTATATCAAGAAAATGTTCACAGTAAATACATTATAATATAAATATATGAGATTTATAGCCCAAACTGATCATATCGATAGGGAGTTTAGAGATTCAGTTAAAAATCATCTGTCTAATACTATAAATGATAATTACTTTCAGGATATCATTAGGGTGGAGGATATAAAATGTATATTGCAAAAAGCAAAAGACACTGCACCAGGGCCAGACGGGGTCAGGTATGCCCACATAAGGACTTGAGGGAGATGGCTTTTCACTTCAACCAGAGCATCAAAACAGCTTTAGTACCCCAGGGTTGGGTACACAGCTACCTAATCCCACTTCCAAAACCAGGCAAAGACCATTCCAGATTCAATGGTTTCAGGATTATCACCCTACAAAATACTTTTGGCAAGGTGCTAGAGAGTATTAGTGCTGTTAAACTACAGATCTTTTTGGTAAGGTTTGGGTAGTTACCTGCCACGGAAAGACACCTACCTGGTCAAATGCAGCTACTTTTGCTTATGATGTTTATGAGGGGTTCCAGTATAGACAGGAGACGGTTATGGCAGCACTTGATCTTGAGGATGTCTACAGTAGAATAGCTTGTAAACTGGATAGCAGCCGTCCTGCACTCACATATGGTTGCCCTTTGCCTGAGTACATGGACCTCAGAACCATGTAATATTGTCCCTGGACTACCCCAGGGTTCTGCAGTTTCACATGTGCTCTTCAATGTGTATACAGGCAAGATTGCAGAACTTGAAGCACCAGGTGGTGAAGGTTTATTGACCTTTGCAGATGATGTTCTTGCATATAGGCAGGAAAGTGATAGGCAACGGATAGCCCAAGAGCTACAGGCAACTGTAGATGAAGTTACCCACTAGTGTGTTGAAGTGGGTGCGGTACAGTGCCAAAAGAGACTCAGTGTTCTCAAGATTATGGCAGCAATGGACATGGAACAAAGAATGCTGTTCACAGTGTTCCAGCATGTGACCCTATCAGTGATAGATTATGGTCTTTGAATGCTTATCATATCAAAGATTTAGCTGATGAAACTTGAACACATTCAAAATGAAGTCATGCAGGTAATTCTGAGATGTACAAGAGATACCCTGGTAGTATGTATGTGATATATACTTGCATTGCCTACTATTGCAGACAGGCTAAAAGTTCTGCAAGCTAAATATCTCAGAGTAGCTGAGGACAAAAAGCACCTCCTGCATGAAGCCCAGGGTAGAGCTTAGGGTCACAGACTGAGAGGAGAAAGGTCTTGGATGGCGCAAGCTAAGGACACAATTAGACATGTGTGCAGGCTTGATAAATTTGACGATGAGAGGAGTGGGTCAAAATGTCCGAGCAAGTTTCAGGCTTGTGTAGGTTTCATATCACTTCAGTCATAAGTGCAGGGACTGGCCAGCTGGTGCTGCTGCAGAATCAGAAGTTCAACAGATGGCTCTGTATAGAGGGACAGATGGGGGTTCAAAGCAAAAGCATATGGACGTCGCTAAATGCAACAAAGTCTGGCGTACAATATCACAATGTCTAGTTTGAGAATGGAGGTGGAGGCAGTCACTGCTGCTTTCTGCTGGCTTGAGAATCAGCTGTACACACATGCCCTGATTGTAACTGACTCACAGAGCATGTTGAGAAAGGTGGAGACACATGCTCCGTGCATAATGGCAAGCATCACTTCAGAGGTCCCGGGTAGTTAGCGTCATTTGGATATGTTCTCCAGCTCATGCCAGTGTGTTGGGAGATGAGCAGGCAGATAGACTGGACGGTTCTGCACCCGTTGGTGGTGAATTGATGTATGACAAGCTACTTTGGGAGCAGGGAAAAGTGCAGAGGCACAAATAGATCATTACGGTCTGAGGAGAATGACACAGTGAGGAGTTAAAAGGTGATCTGGCCGATGCTTAGTACAGGGAAGGGTGAGACTGATAGACAATCAGACAGTTACTGGTGCCATCAGAATTGGAATTCTTAACTACTGCTGAAGATGGGGACAGAGCTCTTATGTGGGTGTCCCGAGTGCTGTGATGTCAGTTCTTAATTCAACATTCAGTATTCAGTAAACACAACTTGATTATATTTTAATTGAAAGTTTTACATTCCTACTTTGACTGCTCACTTATTTTGTTTTGTTTTGTGTTTCTTTCAGATGTGATAAAGAAAAGTGGGAAAGACATTGTGTGTATGGTTTGTGTGATATGTGTTGTCAAAAATTGGGAGGTTGCCAGCAACAGAAACATAGACAGCAACCCACATCTTACAATCCCTGGCCCAACAATTGGTATAAAAGAGATAGGATCATTGATCTCAGGTAATCAACATATTCTTATTTTCAACCTGTGACATTGGTATAGATAGTATCTCTGTAACTTCACTTCACTCTACAAGCTGTGAGGTTAGTATGGGTGATATTTCACTGCAGTGTCTCTACAAGCTGGGAGGTTAGTATGGGTGATATTTTGCTGCAATGTCTCTACAAGCTGGGAGGTTAGTATGGGTGATATTTTGCTGCAGTGTCTCTACAAGCTGGGAGGTTAGTATGGGTGATATTTCACTGCAATGTCTCTACAAGCTGGGAGGTTAGTATGGGTGATATTTCACTGCAGTGTCTCTACAAGCTAGGAGGTTAGTATGGGTGATATTTCACTGCAGTGTCTCTACAAGCTGTTAGGTTAGTATGGGTGATATTTCACTGCAGTGTCTCTACAAGCTGGGAGGTTGGTATGGGTGATATTTCACTGCAGTGTCTCTACAAGCTGGGAGGTTGGTATGGGTGATATTTCACTGCAGTGTCTCTACAAGCTGTGAGGTTCGCATGGGTGATATTTCGCTGCAGTGTCTCTACAAGCTGGGAGGTTAGTATGGGTGATATTTCACTGCAGTGTCTCTACAAGCTGGGAGGTTGGTATGGGTGATATTTCACTGCAGTGTCTCTACAAGCTGTGAGGTTAGTATGGGTGATATTTCACTGCAGTGTCTCTACAAGCTGTGAGGTTAGTATGGGTGATATTTCACTGCAGTGTCTCTACAAGCTGTGAGGTTAGTATGGGTGATATTTCACTGCAGTGTCTCTACAAGCTAGGAGGTTAATATGGGTGATATTTCACTGCAGTGTCTCTACAAGCTGGGAGGTTGGTATGGGTGATATTTTGCTGCAGTGTCTCTACAAGCTAGGAGGTTAGTATGGGTGATATTTCACTGCAGTGTCTCTACAAGCTGGGAGGTTGGTATGGGTGATATTTCACTGCAGTGTCTCTACAAGCTAGGAGGTTAGTATGGGTGATATTTCACTGCAGTGTCTCTACAAGCTGTGAGGTTAGTATGGGTGATATTTCACTGCAGTGTCTCTACAAGCTAGGAGGTTAGTATGGGTGATATTTCACTGCAGTGTCTCTACAAGCTAGGAGGTTAGTATGGGTGATATTTCACTGCAGTGTCTCTACAAGCTAGGAGGTTAGTATGGGTGATATTTCACTGCAGTGTCTCTACAAGCTAGGAGGTTAGTATGGGTGATATTTCACTGCAGTGTCTCTACAAGCTGTGAGGTTAGTATGGGTGATATTTTACTGCAGTGTCTCTACAAGCTGGGAGGTTGGTATGGGTGATATTTCACTACAGTGTCTCTACAAGCTGGGAGGTTGGTATGGGTGATATTTCACTGCAGTGTCTCTACAAGCTGGCAGTTTGGTATGGGTGATATTTCACTGCAATGTCTCTACAAGCTGGGAGGTTGGTATGGGTGATATTTCACTGCAGTGTCTCTACAAGCTGGCAGTTTGGTATGGGTGATATTTCACTGCAGTGTCTCTACATGCTGGCAGTTTGGTATGGGTGATATTTCACTGCAATGTCTCTACAAGCTGGGAGGTTGGCATGGGTGATATTTCACTGCAGTGTCTCTACAAGCTGGCAGTTTGGTATGGGTGATATTTCACTGCAATGTCTCTACATGCTGGAAGTTTGGTATGGGTGATATTTCACGGCAATGTCTCTACATGCTGACAGTTTGGTATGGATGATATTTCACTGCAGTGTCTCTACAAGCTGGCAGTTTGGTATGGGTGATATTTCACTGCAGTATCTCTACAAGCTGAATTTATTAATGCAGAAATGAGGTTTCTGAGAAAAGTGGTCCAAGTGACAAGAAAGGACAGAGTTCACAACCAGACATGATCTAGAAAACCCAGGCCTTACAAACTTGAGTGGATGAGTCAGTTAAAATGTTTTGGAAACATATGCGGAGTGGGAAAGCGTTGGTTCCCAGACCTCCTTGATGGCCCAGGGTTCACTGGCAAGGTAACATCCAACAGTTGCCTACTGATAGAAGAAAACAAAGCCAAAAAGGAAACCCCTGAAAGAGAAGTCTTGCGATCTTTTTGACAAATCTCTACCCCAAAGTAGAAGAGGGCTATGTAAAATAAAGGGGTCTCTGCAAGCTGTGATATTGCATTTCACTGCAATGTATGTACCTGCTGTGAGGTTGGTATGGGTGGTATGTCTATGTTTGTTTGCAGTGTCTGCACTTTGTAGTGAAAGAGGAACTTATATACCTCCTTTACCAAGAGCTGTGCTGGTAGTAGTAATGTTATTAGAAAGAAGGAGGCTTAAACAAACAGAGAAGTAAATTAGAGGCATAGATGATGTTTACTTTGTTTATATCATTATCACAGAGTTACATTTGAATTTGAAAGTTTCCCATGTGGGTTCTGGAGCCTGTTGTAGAGAAAACAAGAATAGAGCCACAGCCTACCCAAAAGCATGTCGTAAGAGTAAACTAAATTAGAGATTTCTTTGAAGTTGCCATGCATCTGCCTGAGAGGTAAGGAACCACAGAAAAAGAGGAAGAATAATTTAAAAGTGCAGTTCTAGTGGGGGACTGTTAGTATTGGCATATCTGGAGGCTGCTTTCTGCATTTAGTTTGCATGTGCAGTGACTGATCTGTTTTCTGCTGGTTTTTTTTTTTTTTTTTTTTGAGCCGTGAAGCATAAAAACAGTCAAATACAAAAGTTTTGGAAAGACTGCAGATGAAAAGAGAATTACCAAAAGAATTTTAAAAAAGTGAAAGTTGAAATATTTTGGTCACATTTAAAGATAATATGCTGTTAAAAACCATACTGGAGAGAACGGTTGAGGACAAGAGAGGTAGACAATGATTCAAGGGGGAGAACAACATCAAGGGAATGATAAACAGCAGTCTGAGAGAGTGTACAACCAAGACAAGAGGTCGAGCTTGTTGGAGATCCATTGCAGCCAATTCTCATTGTGGAAACGGCATCTGATTGATTGATTGATTGATTGATTGATTGATTGATTGATTGATTGAAGGGCATTTTGTGTGAGTTCCACTCGCACAGAAACATATAAATTATGGGACGACTTGTTTGCTGTGAAGTTGGAAACTCAACTAACTAACTCGCAATTGAATGATTATGTGGAAAAAAAAAACTTTTATTTTTTGTTTCAGTCATCTTTATTTGTATGAATTGCCCCCGCGGCTGTTCTTTCATCACATGGATGGCTGCAGCTTGAATGTTTCCTACAACTGCTTGAGCCATTTGCCAGAACATGTGGCATTGATGAGGGGTCTAGTCAGTCTCAGTTTAAGGCACAATCTACTGTCCAACATTCCTGTACGTTAAAGTATCATCTTCCATATTTATGAATGTCACAGTATAGTTTTCTGTATTATCTTTCACATTGTTATCTTCTGCATTCTTCTGTCATAATTTAATCTTCTGCATGTTTGTTTGTCATAATGTATTTTTCTGCATTCTTGTCTTTCATAATGTAATTTTCTACATTCTTGTCTTTCATAATATAATCATCTGTATTCTTGTCTTTTGTAATGTAAACTTCTGTATTCTTTGCTTTCATAATGTAATCTTCTATATTATTGTCTGTTTCACAGTACATATATTCTTCTGCAATTTAGTCTGTTATAATGAAATCATCTGCATTACTGTCTTTCATTATTCTGCATTGTTGTCGGTTGCAATGAAATCTTCTGCTTTCTTATCTTTCAAATTATATGCAATTCTTCTGCATTCTTGCCTGCTATAATGTAATCTTCTGCATTCTTGTCTTCCATAATGTAATCTTCTGCATTCTTGTCTTCCATAATGTAATCTTCTGCATTCTTGTCTTCCATAATGAAATCTTCTGCATTGTTATCTGCTTTCTTGTCGTTCACAGAAAATAAAATCTTCTGCATTTTTGTCTTTCATAATGTAATCGTCTGTATTCTTGTCTTTATATTGAAATCTTCTGCATTCTTGTCTGTTATAATGAAATCTTCTGCATTCTTGTCTGTTATATTGAAATCTTCTGCATTCTTGTCTGTTAAAATGAAATCTTCTGCATTCTTGTCTGTTATAGTGAAATCTTCTGCACTCTCGTCTGTTAAAATGAAATCTTCTGCATTCTTGTCTGTTATAATGATATCTTCTGCATTCTTGTCTGTTAAAATGAAATCTTCTGCATTCTAGTCTTTATTATTGAAATTTTCAGTATTCTTGTCTGTTATAATGTAATCTTCTGCATTCTTGTCTGTTATAATGACATTTTTTGCATTCTTGTCAGTTATAATGAAATCTTCTGCATTCTCGTCTTTCATAATGAAATCTTCTGCATTCTTGTCTGTTGTAATGAAATCTTCTGCATTCTTGTCTGTTGTAATGAAATCTTCTGCATTCTTGTCTGTTGTAATGAAATCTTCTGCATTCTCGTCTTTCATAATGAAATCTTCTGCATTCTTGTCTGTTGTAATGAAATCTTCTGCATTCTTGTCTGTTGTAATGAAATCTTCTGCATTCTTGTCTGTTATAATGACATTTTTGGCATTCTTGTCAGTTATAATGAAATCTTCTGCATTCTCGTCTTTCATAATGAAATCTTCTGCATTCTTGTCTGTTGTAATGAAATCTTCTGCATTCTCGTCTTTCATAATGAAATCTTCTGCATTCTTGTCTGTTGTAATGAAATCTTCTGCATTCTTGTCTGTTGTAATGAAATCTTCTGCATTCTTGTCTATTGTAATGAAATCTTCTGCATTTTTGTCTATTGTAATGAAATCTTCTGCATTCTTGTCTGTTGTAATGAAATCTTCTGCATTCTTGTCTGTTGTAATGAAATCTTCTGCATTCTTGTCTGTTATAATGACATTTTTTGCATTCTTGTCAGTTATAATGAAATCTGCATTCTCGTCTTTCATAATGAAATCTTCTGCATTCTTGTCTGTTGTAATGAAATCTTCTGCATTCTTGTCTGTTGTAATGAAATCTTCTGCATTCTTGTCTATTGTAATGAAATCTTCTGCATTCTTGTCTATTGTAATGAAATCTTCTGCATTCTTGTCTGTTGTAATGAAATCTTCTGCATTCTTGTCTGTTGTAATGAAATCTTCTGCATTCTTGTCTGTTGTAATGAAATCTTCTGCATTCTTGTCTTTCATAATGAAATCTTCTGCATTCTCGTCTTTCATAATGAAATTTTCTGCATTCTCCTCTTTCATAATGAAATCTTCTGCATTCTTGTCTGTTGTAATGAAATCTTCTGCATTCTCATCTTTCATAATGAAATCTTCTGCATTCTCCTCTTTCATAATGAAATCTTCTGCATTCTTGCCTGTTATAACAAAACCTTCTGCATTCTTGTCTGTTGTAATGAAATTTTCTGTATTCTTGCCTTTTATAATGAAATCTGCATTCTTGTCTGTTTTAATGAAATCTGCATTCTTGTCTGTTATAATGAAATCTTCTGCATTCTTGTCTAACGGTTAAGGTAACCCTGCATTCCTGTCATTCACAGTGAAATCTTCAGTACTCTTCTCTGTTGTAATGTAATGTTCTGCATTTTGTTACAATATAATCTTCTGCATTCTTGTCTGTTTATACTGTTCAGATTGTGGGTGTCATCGTAGGGCTTATGTAAAATACCTTTCCATCTTCCAGACAATAGTATTCCAATGTGCTATTGGGAGACATGAGAATGACAGCCTAGCATGATACCAATTAAGGCCAGGGCAGAAGTTTCCAATCTCCATACCATAAAAACACAGTGCCTGGGTGTAATGTAGAGACCATGTGTTGCTTATACAGCATGATTCCTTGATGAGCCTGCTTTGTTAACTCAAAAGGATAGGTAACAGTAATACATTTGGAACACACCATGCTGCAGAAGCTACCGGATCAGAAGAGCAGTGCTGTGTCTAGTCTGCCTTTCGGAGCTTTCCTACCAGATCAGTTGCCAACCAAGCTTAAGAACCTTGTCTGCCCTGCCATAACATTTAGTTTTCAGGTGGATTGTCCTTGTCCTAGGATAATGTTAGTTTTCTCCCTTCTGCTCTCCTCCACCTGAAACTGTTGCAGATTATTGTAAAGTTGCATGATAAAAATAAGGCACATTATTGTAAAGTTGCATAATACAAATAAGGCACATTATTGTAAAGTTGCATGATACAAATAAGGCAGATTATTATACATTTTCATGATACAAAAAGGCACATCATTGTAAAGTTGCATGTTACAAATATGGCACATTATTGTAAAGTTGCATGATACAAATAAGGCAGATTATTATACATTTTCATGAGACAAATATGGCACATTATTGTAAAGTTGCATCATACAAATAAGCTTGTTTAAATGGTCTTAACTGTTTTTGTATTAATTCTTTTGGCACAGGCATTTTTCTCATCTCTTCATCAACTTGCTTATGTTGATCTTAGAAACAACAGACTGTCTACATTCCCAGGTAATGTATATAGATGCTCTAATAAAACACCCTTTTATATATTAGAACCAATTGTAAAATATCCATTTATTACATTTGATCAATTCTTATGAGGAATTTCAGTAGAATATTTAATATTGAGTAAAATCACTATCACAAACATTCATTAACTGCTGCCTGCGCATAATAGAGGGAATTAAATGGTACGATAGAATCACTAATGTAGAGCTTTGGGAGAGAACTAAGCAAGCTCCGGTGGACCAAGAGGTGAAGAAACAGCACTGGCATTGGATAGGACACACATTGAGAAAACCAGAGAAAAATATAACTAGAATGTCTAGGAAGGCCCAAAAAAACACGGAGAAGGGAGCTGGATAGCAAAGGATAGAACAACTTGGCGTGTGTTGGTTGAGGGCCTATGCTCCATTGGGAGTTAGAAAGGCAGAAAAAGAAGAAGAAGAAAATCATTATCTTATTTTTTTGTCACCATCTGCTTTGTCTCGCTAAAAGTCACAGTTTAAACAGAGGATAGACAGCCCAGTTAGAGTGCTTTTAGTTGCTTGGTATGTGGTAATGTTAAGTCTTTGGCTGTCGGTGACGCCTTCAATCCTAGTACTACCAGAACACGACCTACTGCCAGAGCATTACCTGCTACTCAAACATTACCTAGAACCAGAACATTACCTGCTACCAGAACATTACCTGCTACCAGAACATTACCTACTACCAGAGCATTACCTGCTACTCAAACATTACCTAGAACCAGAACATTACCTGCTACCAGAGCATTACCTGCTACCAGAGCATTACCTGCTACCAAAACATTATCTGCTACCAGAACATTACCTGCTACCAGAGCATTACCTACTACCAGAACATTACCTGCTACCAGAACATTATCTGCTACCAGAGCATTACCTGCTACCAGAGCGTTACCTGCTATCAGAGCATTATCTAATACCAGAGCATTACCTGCTACCAGAGCATTACCTGCTACCAGAGCATTACCTGTTACCAGAGCGTTACCTGTTATCAGAGCATTACCTGCTACCAGAGCATTACCTGCTACCAGAGCATTACCTGCTATCAGAGCATTACCTGCTACCAGAGCATTACCTGCTATCAGAGCATTACCTGCTACCAGAGCATTACCTGCTACCAGAGCATTACCTAGCACCAGAAAATTACCTAGCACCAGAACATTACCTAATACCAGAACTTGGCCCAGCACTATGAATTACCTAGTATTCAAACATTACCTACTACCAGAACATTACCTGGCACCAGAACATTATCTAGCACTAGAACATACCTGGCACCATAACATTACCTAGCACTAGAACATTACCCGCTACCAAAGCATTACCTAGACTCATTTAAGGCTAATACGAGCTGCAGGAGTGTAGTGGCTAGATGAACAACTGCGGGCCACAAGGTTTAATTCTTTAAATACCATACAACATACAACAATTTTTTGTTTCTAGGGGTAATTGCAAAGATCACATGATGTTCTTGCTGTCTGGATCTTCCTCCTGCCTTTTGGGGGTGTTCCCACTTTCATGCTGAATGCATTGCCAGATTTTTTCACACTAAATGGCTGAACTATTTTGGTCTTTGTTTTCTCAATGAGTTTAATGATAGGTATTGTTCCAATAGTGGTTTTAATCCCCCGTGTGGGTTCCGGGGTCCCATTGTGGGGTAAACAAGAATAGACCCACTGCCTCCCCAAAAGCATGTCGTAAGAGTCGACTAATTGGGGAGCTTCCTTTGAAGTCGGAGTGCATCTGCCGGAGAGGCAAGGAACCAACAGTCTGTATTCAAGAGAATGAGATCTGTAAAACTGATGCACACGCAACACTCAGCTTCTGCAGCAGGACTGCAGTTCAGTAGTGGACGAGCAACCAGAACCTTCCGCCAGAGTTTACAGCTGGTGAACGCGAAGAAGAAGAAGAAGAAGTGGTTTTAATCTCTTCATTTATCACACAGTCTCTTTTGTCAGAATCCTCGCCGGTGCTACAGAGTTTGTGCACTGTGCTGAGATTCTTTGGACTGAGGCTTGAGTTAGAAGTAGAATGGAGCACTTATGAGTTACTACCCTTGTGCCATGATGTTGATCTGTTGTTTAAACCTAAACCTGAATAATCTCTTTTGGTTGTGTCTGCAGCCTTGTCAGACATCTTATTTCATAGAAGGTTAGTTTTCTCATATTCTTTAAGTAATGTCTAGCTCTAAGTCTGGTAGCCTAAAGATGGAATTAAAATCACTATATGTAGGTTTTTTCATGATTATCAGTTCAAAAAACAAAAACAAAACTGACCGTGTGACTCATGTTCTCTAAATGCATTATATCAATAAAATCCTACTTAACATTGTATATAAGGAACAGCAGTCATCATCATCATCATCGTCATAAACCACTTCTGCTGTTAAGCGTCGTGGGGAGGAATAATTTGTGATCCAGTGCACGTTGGCTGCCACTGGCTATTGTCATGCCATGAAGGCATAGAGTGTCTTTAATGTTGTCGATCCATGTTTTCCGCGGCCGTCCTTTTGCTCTTGTAGCTGATCTTCTGAGATGTAGTGCTTGTGATGGTATTTGATCTTGCTGCATTCTAACGAGATAGCCTAACCACTTAATCTGCTGTTTCTTGATGAATCTAGTACAAGGTGTCGTTCCCACAATTTGCCTGATAGTTTCATTATTCACTCGATCTCGGATGGTTAGGTTGGCTGCTTTTCTAAGGCACCTCATCTCGCCGGTGGTGATTTTGCCTATATGGGCTTTAGATAGTGTCCATGTTTGGCACTGGTAGCTTAATGTTGGAATGAATATGCTATTAATAATCTGTCTCTTTGCACTCATAGTTATGCTTGGATGTCTTAATAATGGTGACAGTATTTAGTAGAGTCACCAACTTAGGCTTATTTGAGCAACATCAGTAAAAGAACTGTGGCCTTGTTAATCAAGTTCCATTAAATGTGCTATTTGCAGATTCCTTATTGGAGCTACCCCAGTTGTTAAAGTTGTACCTTGACCACAATTGCCTGACAAAATTACCATGTGATATTGACAAGCTACATTTCTTGCAGTGTCTTAGTTTAGGGTGAGTACAGCAGTTTCTCAGCTGGTTCGTCTTGTTGATATTTTTGTAAAGAGTGACACATTCTAAGCATTATCAGTTAAGGTAATTCCAAATAGCCTTTCCTTTGAGACATCAAAATATCAGCATGCACACAACACACAAATAACAACCAGGACTTTCCAGTTACAGCTGCTGAACAAAGAAGAGAAAAGATTTAAAACATACTTATAAGAGTAGGCCTATCTGAAGACGTCTCAGCTGAAATGCCTGATGAAATAAAAAGTAGTTATGTTCTTATACTACTGGTAATCTATCCATAGCCTGGATTAAAACACTCACCCATCTCATCTAAACAAATAAATGCTGTCTATCTACCTGTCACCTTGATATACAATCTTGTTTAAATTTCAGATACAATGATTTGCCAAGCATTCCTGATTCTTTGTTCAACATTCAGAGTTTAAAGGTATGAATATTTTTTTTGCAAAATATGTTGTCACTTTTTTGGGGGTTGCTGTTTATTTTCATTCTAGTTCATTAAAACTCTGTGGAGTAAAGTAAAGTAATGTGCAGTACAATACAATAAAGAAGAGAAATAAAGTACAGTACAGTAAACTACGGCTAAGGCGTTGCGAGTCCGACTCGTAATCCAGCGTACCGTGATCGAAACCCATTGCTGGCTGTATGGTTTTTTATCGTGGTATGGGACGTCGCAGGTCAACCCTGCCTCAAATTGGTACCAGGATGGCTGTCCTGGGGAAGTAAAGACAGCCGGCGTAATGCTGACCACATTACCCACCGAGTGCCGATTGGTCTGTAAAAATATGGGACGCTCTGCCCATATACCTGATGCGCCTTAGGCGTAATAAGGGATCTTTACTTTTACTTTTACAGTAAACTACAGTACATTACAGTAACTAAAGTACAGTACAGTGCAGTAACTAAAGTAAAGTACAGTACATTATAGAACAGTACAGTAACTAAAGTACAGTACAGTTAAGTACAGTTCTGTACAGTAAACTACAGTACAGTACAGTAACTAAAGTAAAGTACAGTACATTATAGTACACTAAAGTAACTTAAGTAAAGTACAGTACATTGTAGTACACTTCAGTATAGTAAAGTACAGTAAAGTAAAGAAAAAGATCCTTTTTTACATCTTGGGCACATTGGGCATATGATGCTAAACTCACATTTTTACAGACCACCTAGTACTGGGTGGCTGATGGGGGTCAGCATCATGTCAGTTGCCATTACTTTTAGGGCAATACTTTACACTCGTGTGAGGCTGGGTCAGCCTAACAGTCGACGTCCAAAGTACCTCCCTGTGGCTTTGAACCCAATGTAACATTGCCTGGTGAAACCACATTCAGCCAGACAATTGTAGTGTGGGTTCTGCATGGCGTATACAGGATATGCAATTTCCTTTATGGGGAGGGGGGGGGGGGGTTGTTTTTGTTGTTGTTGCCAGCCTTTTGTCTCTCCAGACAGTAGTGTATATTGTAAAGGAGCTGCTGGCCGAACAGTTAGAACACTGGGCTCTCAAGCGGGAGACCCAGGTTCGAATCCTCGGAAAGGCTGGGGATTTTTTTCTGTCGGGGGGCAAAATAAAATCCTCATCTGCATAGTTGTAGCGACAGCACTAGCCATGCAGCTGTAAATCCTCAGGTCTCTCCCCCCCCCCCCCCCCCACCCTCCCCCATCCCCCCAGCCTACACCACAAAAGTGGTATAATAAAGGCAATTATTGACAGTGCATATTGTGCTGTAGGTAGGTGGGAATTGAACAGTCCATGACAATGTCAAACATGACTAGCAAGACAGGCTTAAGGCTTCCAAGACAGCTTAGGGCCGGGGATAAAGTTCCTCCTCTCCAAAGCACAAAGTCTTGATAGTATTATTTAAATGTCAAGGAAAACTGCAGTATTATAGAGGGTATCATGTTATCACCTGCAGCTACTTTATGATAAAGCAGACTTTGTGAAGGCTGTCTGGGATCAGATAGACAGTGCAAAAGAACAGAGGGAGAGAATCCAAACAGTGAAAGACTAATTCAATGGAGAAAAAAAGCGGGGGGGGGGGGGGGGGGTGTTGAGTAGAGGTTCTGGAAGATATTCAGTACTGATGGGGGAAACAGAGGCGGACTTTTAATCAGGTTGCGAGTGGCACTATTTGCATGTGGGTCCTGAAGAAGAGGATGGAGGACGTGTGGGAATTCCTAAGTGCTGTGGTGTCAGTTCTTGAATCATTCATTCCTGCAACATGATCCATCACTTGGCCTGCTTTTTTTTTTTTTTTTAATACTTTAGAGAAAAGTAACACCAAAACATTTGGAACAGACTGTTCAGTATAAACATTGTCCAGTTTAAAGTTTACAAAAAATTATCAAAACAAAAGTTAGTTTCCTGTTACGAACCAGTACTGTTTTAAAATGTTGTTCAGTCTTTTGCTTGTCGTTGTATTTCAGTCCTTAAATCTGCGAGGAAACCACAGACTTTCTGCCCTGCCTGGCAGTATTGGAAATCTGCTCTGCCTTCAGAGACTGGATGTTAGCCATTGTGATCTGAGGCTTGTGCCAGCATCTCTCAGCTCGTGCACAGTTCTGAAAAAGTGTAACTTCTCATTTAACAGGTATTACAAAAGGATGTGCTGTCTGCACAGTAAAGGTTGGTCACAATTAATCAACGTCCAGACAGGTCGCCATCGTAAAAAACATCCTTTGTTTTAGAATAAGATTTCTAGTACAAATACAAATACAACATATCAAGGCAAAACCTTTGGCCAAGAGAAACATCGGTGCAAGTCAAACTTTACGGGTCGCTGAGTGAATTAGAAAAGACAGTGAAGTTTATGCCAGAGACAACTTTGCAGATATAGATAATCTATTTCAAGTGAACGAAAGAAGAAGAAAAAATTTCTAGTAAGAGATCAAGCAAGACATCATCATCATCATCATCATCATCATCAGGTGCCTTGCTGACTGGTGTGGGCGATCATGCCTCTCCATAATCCTGATCTCCTGCAGCATGTATCAGTTCGTGTGCCGACACACCTCCCTGCCATGCAACAAGACTGTCAAGAATCTTCTCTTGTTGTCTTCCTCTATCCCTCCTCCCACAGATCTTTTCAGTGATCACAACATGTTCTATTTTCCCTCTTCTCATAACATGAGGCCAAAAAATGATGACTGTCTCCTTCTGATGTCCCGCCTCTTTCAAAACCTCTGGGCTGCTCTTTTTGGCTGTCCAAGGTATTCTAAGCATTCTTCTGTAAAACCACATCTCTGAGGCCTCAAGAAATTGTTTGGCTTGGCTACCGATTGTCCAGGATTCACAGCAATCACGACAATATATCCATTTTTTTAAGAAAGCGCTGCTGGAACTACATCGGCCATGCACTCAGAATGGACAAGACAAGACCTCCCCTTCAAGCCCTGATATGGACACTGGAAGGAAAAAGAAAATGGTGAAGACCAAGAGAGACTCTACATAGAATTATTATCAGGGAAGGTCAACCAGAGGCCTAACAAACATCCAAGACCTAAAACAAGTGGCAGCAAACCACCAGACCTGGAGAGCTATGACCTTTGCCCTATGTGCGGCCTAGGCTCAAGTGGATAGACCAGCTAACAATGCCTCCACTGTTGTTTTAGGGAAATATTTCATGGTGAGGACCCAGTCTTCTGTCTAAACACCAGTCAAAAGTTTCTGTGGCTTAGGTGCTGCAGACATGCTTCATAATTATGAGTTGCCAGGTTTTATCCCACTTCTAGGCAGTTTAGAAACAAACACCTTTGTGTAGGGTTCGACCATGGTATCAAGAGCCCACCATTGAGAAATTAATGGCAAACTACTGCCTAGTAAAATCATAGACAGCCTAGAAATCTTGGGTTGGTTCTGCAACATCCTGCAAAGGTCACACAACTAACTTTTTGTTAAGGGGCAATGTGTGTATTATTTGTTACCTCCACAAGACTTACCTGGAACCCAGGTGGGGGTATATGTTTTGTGAGTATGAGAGAATTCAATTTTAAATTATTAAATGTCGAATTAAGAATCGAGATCACAGCAATCGGGACAGTACAATGAGTGCTCAGTCCCCATCTTCAGCAGCAAGCGCGGAGTTCTGATTCCTATGGTACCAGTAACCGTCTGATTGCATATTCGTCTCATCATAATTTTATTATTTTTGTACTTATTAATAAAATCATAAAAAAGAGAGGATTGACTTCATTGCACTGTTTGATCAAATCTGGCTTGGTCTGCCTTTGCAGACTAGCAAACAATCTCTCTTAGAACACATCAGCCAAAGTTTGGATCATCATCATTGTGTGCTTTGTCAAGCTGCATAAAAATAGGTGAAGGACCCTCTTTTCACATTGGTGGCGCATTGAGCATATGATGCTACTCATATTTATATGGACCAGTCAGCCCTCTTTAAGTGATTTAATCACTGTCGTGCTGGTCACTTTTACTTCCCAGGACATTCCCTGGTACCCATTTTAGGCTGACAAGGAAGCCAAGATTAGTTTTGAAAATAATCTACATTAAAGCTAATTGAGACCTTCTAGTTGACAGGTGATCGTCTTCCTCTATGCTACTGCTGTTTCTTGAAAAACCATTCCATTAAAATTAAATTTCAGATTCATAAGGATTCAGAGCTGACCAGGTTAGCTCACTAGTCACTGCACTGTGGTGGTTCCTGGCGACGAGTGCTAGGCTGTAATAAAAGCATTAACATCTTGGCCGTGGTGACCTAGAAATAAATTCAGTGATCTGTATTTTGGGAATTTGTTGAAAGCAGCATTAAAAAAAAAAACAAAAAAAAAAAAAAAAAAACAACAACCCCAAAATCAGTTACAAGAACTCACACAAAAAACATCTTATCAATACCATTAATGGATCACAAACTATTAAATTCCATACTAAATAAGAGGAGTAATCATTAGTAAACAACAGAGAATGAACTGAATGATATCTCATTGAGCCTAAAAAGAAATTTATATTGTGACTTGTTCTTGATCATGTGGGTTGGTTGCCAGGTTACGACTGTGACTAATAGGAAATTATGATGTCTAATTTCTATAAACAAGCCAGGTTTTCACAAGAAAAAAATCACCTAAACACTATTTTTAGCAAATTTAGTCATTCCTAGTCATCCTAAACGTTTGCACAGGCGCAGATCAAACCAGCGCTGTTAGATAGGCTTCTTGCAAACAAGCCAATATAGCGGTAAAGCAGTATTTACAGGGTATTGGACCCAGCTGGAAATCCAATGGCAACTGGAAGTGCCAGGTTTTTGGCTTTTCCCTCTTTTGTATTTCAATACTTCTGTCCAAAAATGTTGTTATAAAAGATGTTGGTTAATTCAAAACACTGTTTTCCTGTTGTAAATTTAAATAATGCAGACACAGACAACATGTTGCTCAAAGTGTTAATGCACATGACGAGATTCAGTGAAATAAGCCAGGCAATAAGTTGTGAAGTGCATTGTTTGTGTCTAAATTATAATTGTGCAACTGGCTATAACAGGTGCATCATATATATAATTTGGCCCTAATTAAGTAAACTAGTAGCGCATATCTTGAAAACTAGAGCCAGTCAGCATTTTTTAATGTTTAAAAAAAAAAAAATAGCAAATCAAAATTAGTTGAGCTCAGCTACTTTAATTTCTGGTGCATTTAGGTTGTTGACTGGTGTTATTTAAATTTATGTCAATATTTAAAGTCGAGGAGAACTGGCTCATAAACAGCATCCTGTCGCACAAGCTGAGGTAAGTTCGGCCATGTTAAACATCATGGTGGCCCGGAGCGAATGATGGTAGAGGGTACCGTTTCTAGAAAACAACGCAGAGGCAGACCTCTGAAAATGTTGATACAAGACAATAAGGATGCATTCACTAAAAATCACATAGAGTTGGAGAATTTGTTAGAGAAGGAGAAACTTTCAGGCGTGCCGTGACGAAAGCGGTGTTCTATAAAGGTACCTGCTGATTGATGGTGGGGGGGGGGGGGGCTGCACCGTCTCGAGGCATGGTGGCCTCCTCAAGTGCTAGAGGTTCCGGGTTCAATCCCCAGTAAGGTCTGAGATTTTTTCACGTGGACTTGGACTTCTAGTATTTTCCCGGGTCTCTGGGTAGTGAGATCAGACACCCGTGTGCATTGTTGTGTATGTAAAAGATCCCTTGACAATTTAAAATCAAAAAGAGTAGCCTAATGGGACTTCAAGCGCAAAATTTGAGTTAAAAATCTACCCAAAGTATTTCAGGATCCTCACTGGTACTACAGAGCCTGTGCACTGTGCTGAGCTTCTTCAGACTCAGAATTGAGTTGAAAGAAAGAACGAAGCCATAATGTTGATCCGTTGCTCAAACTTCAAACTGATCACAAGTATATGATGTTTAGTATTAGGATTTGAACAGTTTTCATTCTTCATTGTCCCACCAGGCTGACCCATCTGCCCTGTGAGATTTCTCAGTGCTACAGGCTGGTACACTTGGACGTCAGCAGTAATAAACTCACCTTCTTGCCAGCAACTTTGCTCTACAGGCAGCGGATGCTTGTGCTTTTAGGTAAGTGGGGGAAGGGGTGTATAAGACATGTTTTGGAATGCATGCTAGTGAAGTCTAATGGCAGTAGGAGAATGCTTTCTGAGAACAATGCAGATATCATTCTTCTTCTTGTGCCCTTGATTCCCCATTGGAGCATAGGCCCTTAGACATCTGCCACCAAGCTGTCCTATCCTTTTATTATCACATTCAGCTCGCACCAATATTCTTCCTGTCTTTCTAGCTTCATTGTCTAGTTCCCTTCTCCGTGTGTTTCTTGGCCTGTATTCTTCTATTATAAGAGCCTCCTCTGCTTTGGTTGGCTTGATATGAGTTGTAAGTCTTTTAGACTTTTCTATGTTTTTGTTTGTTTGATTTTTTTGGGGTATTTTGTTTGTTGTAAGAGACATGGTGGCCAATCTTACCTCAGCTCTACCATTATCGCCTCTAATGACATGTACATATAACTGACTCTCAAGACTTTAACTCTTGTTGCAGAACCTGAGTTTTACTTGCACGTCCTCATTAGATATCTGGCTTATTTGTATGCAGACTCTTGATTCTGTGTCTCTAAGGCAGAGGCACTCTGACTTTGAAGGAAATTTCCCTGACTAGTAGATTCTCTTAAGACCTGCTTGTTAGGGGGCAGTGGGTTTATTCCCCCCCCCCCCATCCCACATACATTGGGGCCCTGGAACCCACACAGGAATATTGCTGGTATTGTTCCTTGCAGATTCCTAAAGGGAATTTCATGGCTTCATTTGGGGGGGGGGGGGGGAGATGGGATAATATATCTACGGCCTCCATTAAGCATGCCGCAAAAGGCAGCTGATTAAGGTTCTGCTGAAATTAGATATGTTGAGCTGTCATAAGGAAATATCACAGCCCAGCTGTAAACCACAACACACTGTGCAGCTACAATTTTAAAGGGGAACACAGAGGAAGACCTACTACTTTGAAGATGATCTGAACTTGATGGCTGAATCAGTGCATTTATGTTCCCCAGCTGGCGGAAACAAGTTTTTTCCAAGACAGAGCTTCACATCCCAGTGGTTGCTTCTGGACACAGTGCCTGCTCGAGGCCACAAAGAGGTTCCAAGCCTGACCTCACTGTCAGGAGCCATTGTGGATAAGCATGGTCTGAACTCTTCACAACTCCCTTTACCAATACAAGGTATTTACAGTGTCAGATTTACTTAATTGTGTACAGGAATTGCAACTTCTTCTTCTCTTCCTCCTTTTTTCTCTACATCTCTTTCCCCTTCTCCTGCTTTTTCCTTATCCTTTTTCATTTTTTACATCTCCTTTTCCTTCTCCTCTGCTTCGCTTTCTGCTGCTTCTTCTTCTTGTCCTTATTCATATTGTAAGCCTTTCAGGTTCATAGCTGCAGATGTCACCCACCTCTCTTCATCTCTGTGATTGGCCATCTCTTTCCATCTGGTGACTCCAAGTGTTGGTAAGCTGTCTGTTATCTCTTCACAGTCTTCTTAATCTGCCTCATGGTCTACTGCGATTCAATTCTTTTGTGTGTGCTGTTTTTGTTGTTGTTGCTTTGGCCTTTATCTCTGTATACTCCTAAGGGATTGTAATAACATATAATTCAGCTGTCAGTGTTTTTTTTAATGTGACTTTTCCAGTACAGATCATAAAAAGGATTGTTTGATTAAAGTCTTCATTTATCTTTCACAATTTGTTTGAAAGGACCACTCTTGTTAGGCCAGATTTCCTCTCCCTCTATGGCTAAATCTGAGCAGTCCTACAGGGTGAATTTGTTTTGGCATTGTACTTTTGCAAGTGGGCGGACTCAGTGAGATACATTTTTTAAGATCTGCCCTGCTTTTTTGTTTAGTCTGATGCCTGTGATCTGGTCATTCCTGCCAAGCTAGCAAATGACAGCAGGTATTAAACATTAATTGTGGACTTTTAAAATAACTATCTAAGAAGAATCTTGATTATTTTGACCTTATCCACTGCAGCCAACCTCCAGCGTGAAGATGAAAAAAACATAAATAAATAAAATAAAAATACAATTCTCATTGTTTTGTCTACAGAGGAACTGTCCCGTATTTCCAGCTGCTATCATTGTGGGGAGAAGAAAGTCAGCAGCCGACTTCGAGCCATCAGGTTTAAATGTTTCAAGCAGAGGCATCTGCCATTAATACATCACCAGCTGGTCCAAGCATATCCATTTATGTATACATTCTGTTTGAAGCATTTGTTTGACTCTACTCCTGACACACTAGAGTCTTGTATTGATTCCTTATCTCGTTCACACTCATGATTTTGTATATACTCAGTGAAGTTTTTGCTTGATTTTAATCAAAATATCTTCTCCTTCTGTGTTCACCCATAAAAGGGCAGTTTGTTTGCTGTGTTGTGGTTTGCAACTAGTATTTGATATTGGTACCTTTTTGGGCCATCATCTGATTTCAGCAAACTCTTAAAGTGTTGCATTTTATGATACGATTAGTTGTTAGTCAAGCTTCCAACTTCACTGCAGATTGGTTGTCCCATGACAACTCTGTTCCTATGCCAGTGGAAATCAGACTAAATCCCTGTCACTGTCCCAGGTCACAACTATTGAAAAACTTGTCAGTCCCAACAAAATGTTGACACCTGCACTTGTCAAGGGACAGTGAGTCTTTTCTTTCCCTCCAAAGAAAAATGAGGCCCCCAGCCCACATCCGGATAATCAAAATATAGTTCTTTTGACAAAAGAAATCAAAAATTTCACATAGGGTAAAAACTCTTTGTGGACTAATCACCAGTTAAATGGCATTTGAATTTATCCCGATCAGACTGTTGACCAGTATACTTGCGCTTCATAGTGACTTTCTAATTTTGTTCCGTTTGCTGGGAAAACCGAATTTTTATGAAATGTTTTGAAAAATTAGGATTAGCGACAGAAAGTCCTTTTGTTTTCTCAAGTCGGCATGGTGTTTGCGTCCTTTTCAGATTAAACATTTTTTTTTAGATGCGACACAATTTTTGCAGGATTTGTCTATATCAAATGATCAAGTAAAAGGTCTTAAACTGTTCATACTGCTCTGTCGTTGGTGAATCTCGGTCATATAGTAACAGTAGTCTTGATGTTATGATTGATAAAGCCATAAAGCGAAACCTATAGTTTAAGGATGAAGACTGAACAAAATATTTCAATCGGATCATCTGTTTTGGTTAGCTGTTGTTGTGAAATCTGACATGTCATACAAAAATGGTCATAACATCCAAAGTATTTAAATTAATTGTTTCAAATAAAGACTAGCTGATACATAATTGAACAGAGAAGGCGTGTGAATTCTTAGAAATGGATAGCGGTTTAGCTGAACAAGTAAAAAGTAAAGTAGGCACACATTTTTTAGCGTAAATAATCTTCATATTTGTCTAACATCCTTGAATGTTGTGTGATTTTAATATTATTTTGTTGTAATACTGACATTTAAATAGTTAAGATTTATTCTGCACTTATTTCTCTTTAATTTGATATACTGTGTGTCCCTATACAGCCAACGCTGTCTCTTCAAAACGGTTTAAGCTTTGTCAATTTGCAGTAAAAAAATTCTCCTCAAAATTAATGCTGTCCAATCCCCAGAAAATATGTGGCCCTAAAAACGTTACATTTGTTTGTTTATCTTACGAAATGAACTGGGAGGTCACGGGTAGTGAGCATACCTTAGATCTTTCTCCAGGCCATGCCAGTGTTGTGGGTAAGGAATAGGCAGACAGATTAGCTGGATCTGCACCGCTGGGTGGTGAATTGATACCTGACAAGGCAGATGTGGTCGAGGCCCTTTGGGAACAAGCAACGGAATCAGTAGAGAAAGAAGATTATTATGGCCTGGAGAGAATGAGGCACAGGGGTGTAACCAGAGGGTCTGGCCAGCTCACTACGCTCAAAGGAAAGGCAAGACGGACATATAACCAGATTGTGACTGGTAGCATCAGTATTGGAATTCTGCGCTGGCTGCTGAGGATGAGGACAGAGCACACATGGGAATGCCCGGAGTGCTGTGATGTCAATTCTTGACTCAACTCAACTGTTACGAAATGAAGACCACTCATTATCCAGTGAGACTCACTAATTATGAGTACAAATATGACATGGGCTTTATGTAAGCTGTATAGAAAAGATATTGGTATTGCTGTAATAGGTAATCAGACTAAGATATTCGGGCCGGCAGACAGTCACTGTACTAATGAATCTTCCAGAACTGACCTATTCTTCATAGTTTTAATGTGTTTATTAACATTGAAAGACTAAGCAGGGATAATGAAGGAATTAAAGAAGGAAATAAAGGAAAAAAGCATCCTTTTTAAAATAAAAGTTATTAATATTTTTTTTCGGGACTAACAAAAGGGAAAAAAAAAAAAAAAACAGGTGAAGCAGACCTAATGAATCCTTATGGTGTTTTATCTTCTGTAATATTTTTGCTAGTTATTCTTTTGCAGTTGTAGATTGGAACACGACTAGCCACAGAGAGGATTGACATTAAGAGGAAAATAATGTTGAATGTAAATGTGTGAATATAGTTTTCTGTATAATGTTCAGTATTTGAGTTTTATGTGATTTTTATCGTTTGATTTAAAAAACAAATTTTTTTCAGTAATTTTATTTCTTGTGTTTGAGACCTGTATTTTGACTTACCATATAAAAAAATGTTTGTGATTTTTACCTATAATTTCATTATTTATGTCTGTTTCTCACTTCTTTTACCCATTTCACTGTGTAACTTCTTTTTCTCACTTCATTGTGCAACTTTTGTTTCCCATTTCACTGTGTAACTTCTTTTTCTCCCTAATTATGTGACTTCTGTTACCCAGTTCACTGTGTAACTTGATTTTCTCACTTCAGTGTGTGACTTCTGTTTCCCATTTCACTGTGTAACTTCTTTTTCTCACTTCATTGTGCAACTTTTGTTTCCCATTTCACTGTGTAACTTCTTTTTCTCCCTAATTATGTGACTTCTGTTACCCAGTTCACTGTGTAACTTGATTTTCTCACTTCAGTGTGTGACTTCTGTTTCCCATTTCACTGTGTAACTTCTTTTTTCTCCCTTAATTATGTGACTTCTGTTTCTCATGTCACTGTATAACTTCCTTTTTTCACTTCACTGAGTGACTTCTGTTTCCCATTTCACTGGTAATTAACTTCTTTTTCTCACTTCATAGAGTGACTTATGTTTCCCATTTCACAGTGTAACTTATTTTTCTCACTTCATTGTTTGACTCCTGTTTCCCATTTCACTGTGTAACTTATTTTTCTGATTTCATTGTTTGACTTCTGTTTCCCATTTCACTGTGTAACTTCTTTTTCTTACTTTATTTGGGACTTATGTTTTCCATTTCACTGTTTAACTTCTTTTTCTGTCTTAATTATGTGTCTTCTGTTCCTCATGTCGCTGTGTAACTTCCTTTTTTCACTTCACTGTGTAACTTCCTTTTTTCACTTCACTGTGTAACTTCCTTTTTTTCATTTCACTGTGTAACTTCCTTTTTTTGTTTCACCGCGTAACTTCCTTTTTTTCACTTCACTGTGTAACTTTTTTCTAACTTCATTGGTGACTTCTGTCTCCCATTTCATTTTGTGACTTCTGTTTCCCATTTCATTGTGTGACTTCGGTTTCCCATTTCATTGTGTGACTTCTGTTTCTCATTTCATAATGTGACTTATGTTTCTCATTTCATTATGTGACTTATGTTTCTCAGTTCAGTGCGTGACTTCTGTTTCTGACTTTATTGTGCAACTTTTGTTTCTCACTTCGCTTTGTAACTTCTGTTTCCCATTTCATTGTGTGACTTCTGTTTCTCACTTCAGTATGTAACTTCTGTTTTTCATTTCATTTTGAAATATCTGTTTCTGACTTCACTGTGTAACTTTTGTTTCTCATTACATTGTGGACCTTTTTTTTCTCACTTCACTGTAACTTTTGTTTCTCACTTCACTATGTAACTTCTATTTCACAGTTCACTGTGCATTGTCTGTTTCTCATTTCATCATGTAACTTCTGTTAATCACTTTTCTGTGGATATATGTTTCCACTTTGACATTAGGATTTGCATTACTTGTTTGACTAAAAGTAAATTTTTTGTTGTTGTACACAGCAAAAAGAAATAGGTAACTTGAACAAAGAAGACATAAACAATAGATTGCACTATTTATTGCCAGGCATAATTCGCTGTATCAGGAGCAGAGTACAGTAACAATTGATTAAAATTAAGCAAATAAATGAATCCTTTGAGATGAAACATAAAATCGACTACATTTGAAAACTGTCTGTTTCGCAAAGGTAAATGCAAGAGAAAGAGCATGTCCTTTTGTCAGCATAATTCTGGACTGTTTTTGTCTTCTTTGTTTAAATTCACAACAGGAAAACATTGCTTAAGCAAGTAACTATTTTATTGGCCATATTAGGAGAAGAGTTATTAAAAGTAATGGACCATTTTTGATGTGGCACATTGTGCATATGATGCTAGACTTATATTTCTATAGACCAGTCGGCACTTAGTTAATAATGGGGTCAACATTACCCCAATTACATTTTCTTCCCAGATCATTACCTGGTACCCATTTTGGGCTGGAACCCAAGGTCAGTTTTGAAAAAATCTGCATCAATGCAGATGTGAACTCATAATCTTCAGTTTGGCAGGTGAGTATCTAGCCAAAATGCTGCTGAGAATATTATTATGTGAAGAGATTCATTTAAAAAAAAAATAATAACAATGGGAAGTAATGGATTACCGGTAGAAAAGGCAGAGACAGACCAAGAGAAATAATGATATATGATCTCAGAATTTAATATGGAGAAATATCAGCCATATAATTGATTCCCAGTGCCAAGAACTGAGATTCATCGGGAGATATGAAAGTGTAGGCTCTGTGACAGGAAAGATAATGATTTAAATAAATGTATTTCTTATTCACAAACAAGTGAATTTAAATATCTAGGGTCATTTTTCACACCTAAAGGAAGAGTAAATAGACAAGATACAGTGTGCAGAAAGAAGAAGACAAATACTGGGACAGCTAACATAGTTTTTGACACATAAAGGGATCCCTTTGCTTCCCAAGGCAGGTCTAAAGATAACACATTTTTGGCCAGTTCTGTACTATACTACGAGTGTCAAACATGGACCCTGGATTTGTGAGTGTACAATCATAATGACAGAGATATGTTAGAAGAGTTGCCTGAGTAAATTAAAATAAAGAAATTAGGAGACTAGGACAGAAACAAATATAAAATTCTTTGAAGAGAAACAGATGTGATGGTTTGGTCATCTGAC